TTGAGCCTTCGCAGCCTTTTAAAAGTACTTCTTGGACTCTCTAATTATAGATATTTAGCCTGATTTTTGCAAACTCTATAATTAGCCCAATCTTTTGGAAACGGTAACTCTTTTTTTGGTAAATATGTGTTGATGTGTTATTATAATTCTCTTACACATCATCTTAGGCTAATTGTAATAGGCTAATCATATGTATAATGTAGGAAATTCTAATACACTAATCCTATGTATAATGTAGGCTTTGTAAGAAAAATGTTACTTTTAATCTTAATTTTGTATAATATATATTGCTTTAATTTGTTGTTAACTAAATAGTTTTGTTATGAAGATTGATATAATTTTTTGTATGTTAGTGTAGGGATTAGTTACACAACAATTCACACTAAATGTAATTAAAAGTTACAATAAGGGTGTTACAAAATGTGGCAAATTATATCAAAAATTATTTGTAACTAAGTGTTGCCATTAGTTACAAGAAACATTGTAACTAAGTGTGGCTATTACCTTCGAAACATTTGTCACCGTTTGTGGCAATTTTCACGATTAGTTTGTCGCAACTAGTGAGTATTTACTTCAATATTTTTGTGGAATTTTGTATCAATTTTCCACTAACTATTTGTAACTACATTGTAACAAATTAGCTACGCAATATATGTTGTAACAAATTTAATTCAAATAGGTACAACGTGATTTTAGTAATTTTTTGTGGCAACTTGCTACAATTTGCTACAAAACTTAAATTTGTTTCAAACGTATACATACGGTGAATTGTTTGTAGCTAATTTGTAACAAATAGAAATTTGCTACAAAAAAAATACTATAGCTACAAAATAAAATGTAGCTATGTTACCAAATTCTTGTAGTGCATTCTCGTTGTAAGAGTAGAGCCAATCCAAACATGTATAACTTTCGAACTCTTTCCAAGAAACATTAAGAAACAACACTGACTAGATTAATCGAGTGGAGAGGTTAAAACAATTTGGTGGTCCATGTTTTGCTCTACAGCC